AGGAAACTGTGTTTGGGGTTCAATGCATGAAGGAAGAATAAAAAATGGATAAATGCTAGTAATTTAGCAGAAAATTTAAAAATATGTAATTAATATTTATTCAATATGTAATATGTTAAGTCTTTTATTTTCTCTGTATATAAAATAAAATCTAAAAAATACAGAGCTCAATAGATAATTGGGGAAAATCTCACACTGTATATAGAATGTTAATTTGTTATTATATATTCTATTGAAAACATCCATGAATTGTAAGTCATAAAATTAATTTCATTTCATGAATTCTATTTTTCACGTTATGACCTTTATGTCATAATGGGTCAAAAGAATATATATGTATATGTATATATATATAACATATATACATGTGATAAATATTATAGGCAGATGGTTTTATTCTTTTAAACAATTTTTATGTATATGTATATATATATACATATATATATGTATGTGTTGAAGGAGTGGCAGGGCTGCGTTTAGGCCCCCCCGGCTCCCGCATGGCTAGCTTATACCCAGAAATAATTACATGGAAGCTGTATTCTTTTAAACACTGCCTGGCCCATTAGTTCCAGCCTCTTATTGGCTAGCTCTTACATATTAATCTAACCCATTTCTAATAAACTGTGCAACACCACAAGGTGGCTTACCAGGAAAGATCTTAACTTGCATCTGTCTGGAGTGGGAGAATCATGGCGACTGCCTGACTCGGCTTCTTTCTCCCAGCATTCTGTTCTGTCTACTCTGTCCACCTAAGTGTTGGCCTATCAAATGGGCCAAGGCAGTTTCTTTATTAATTAACCAATGAAAGCAACAGATAGACAAATGACCCACCTCTATCAGGTGTGGCAGAGAAAAGATCACCATAGAAGACCACATGTCGAGGTCACAAGACAAATGAGTATATCTCCTTCTACCAAGTGAGAATGAACTCAGGTTACAATGCTTAGTGGCAAGAGTTCTTACTCACTAACATATTTTGCCAGCGCAGACATTCTAAAAGTACATAACAATTTCATTAGAAAAATGAAATGAGTAAAGAAATGTGTGCAAACATTAAATACATGTGATATTTATAAGTGAGACTTTAGATATGAAAGTTAGTTTCAGTCATATGGAGATGTGTAGACATAATTAATAAAATGTTCAGATGTCTGTTTCCACAAAAGACTTTTATTAGGACTGAGATGAGAGGGAAAGCAGAACTAGGACATCTATATTAGTTAAGCAGTTGGATCTGGAGTTTTAGATGTGGATCATTTAGGGGAAGTCACTTATTTTAATCCCCAAGACTGTGCTCATTATTTTTATATATCTGCTTGGCTATACTGCACTCTATAATTATTCGATCCCCACTAACGTTGCTGCTGCTGTGAAGTAGATGGCACCAATGCCTACTCTACTCACAGTTGACTTTTAATAGGATAGACTGCAGAATACCATCTGGCTGGGCCTGAATAAACGACTTGAGACACCTCATGATTCTAGGAGAATCATCTTTGAATGGGCGTTTCTTGTGTACACTGACTTGGAGGCTTTGATCCATGCTCATACTTACAGCTTCTTTACTTGATGGCCAAACTACTGATGCACGCCTGAAAGTCAGCTCCAAAGTTGCATGCGTGAGTTCCATGAAATACATGCATCAAATATAAGCTAGTGTCTTTATATTTCTAGTTGAACAGAAGGGTGTAGGAGATTTCAAACCTGAATTCCTTAACTAAATTCCACACTCCACCACACATTAGCTAATTTTAAACAAGCTAATAATTAAAGTACCCAATCTGTCCTCTTTCCTTACTTGCTAAATTCTAACAGTAAATCTGACTTTTAGGGATGCTGTGGAAATTAATTGAGATAGTCATATCCAAAACATCATAGAATGAAGTAGATTGGGTTTCTTATTAAAATATTATCACTTTGAATTAGGGCTACAAAAATAGCTGATTGATGGTTTGAAATTCAAGACAGAGAGCTACATATAGTTAAATTTAGGAATTCTTGTCATATAATATAGATTGTTTAAGTTCATGGATGGACCAATGATGTGGGTTTCCCTTCTGTATGTTGTGAATACCATTGATTAATAAAGTAACTGTATTGTGCAGGGAATAGAGGTAGGCAGGGAAAACTAAGCTGAATGCTGGAAGAAAGAAGGTGGAGTCAGCAGAAGCCATGGAACTGTTGCCAGAGACAGACAAGCTCTGTGTCTTGAATTTCAAACCATTAATCAGCTATTTTTGTAGCCCTAATTCAAAGTGATAATATTTTAATAAGAAACCCAATCTACTTCATTCTATGATGTTTTGGATATGACTATCTCAATTAATTTCCAAATGGCAATACACGGATGAATGGAGATGGATTAATTTTAGGATATAGGAGTTAGTCAGAAATGCACTTAAGCTATTGACTAAACAGTTTTGCAAAGACTATGGCTTCTGTGTGATTATTTTGGGAGTCTGGGCAGCCAGAAAATGAACAAGTGGCTCCTACTACAGACCATTTGGATGACACAAAGCTGACAACCAACACTGGAAAGAAGTAGACCATTGGTAGTATGTTCATGCTCTCAGAGGTCTGACTTTCAGTCACCATGGAAGATACTCTTTCAGTAGCTTAGTTGAACCCATTGCAACAAGATTATCAAAATAATTAAGATGAGTAATAGAAAACAATGTAACAGGACACAGAAAATATTGGCTGAAAGCGTTCATATTCACTCTTATACAGTTCTTACACTCAAGTAACTCACAGATGCTTCTCTTTGTATTTCAGAGCTTTGTTATAGAAATATAGAGGTGCAGCTGTTTTTGTGCTCTTCACATTAGAGATGAATTGGCATCTACTATCCTGTTTCAGCAACATTACTTAATGACTCTCTGCATTACTGCATTATTCTCCAGCCTCCTTCTCTTAGGGATAAATCTGAGTATACTGTAAATTGCCTCTCAGCTTCTCCCTGAAGATGCAAAACTTCAGTCAGCCATCAAGGCAGATGGCTTGAAAGAACACATGTTAATGAGTAGGTTACCTTCTATGTTAAATGTCTCTTTCAGTTGTTGATGTCTCTTCCACATCAAGGTATTTGCTTTTGACTACATTTATCCCAAGGTCAAACTCTCTGGGAATAGATAACAATATTGGTACTGAATTTTGCTGAGTTGAAAGGTCAATGGATTATTTTGTTCTGAATTCAGGGTGATTCAGAAAATATCTCTGAGATTTGACATAGGTTTCTGACATTTCATTAATATGCAGTGAGAACAATATTAGTCACACTATGTTACTAAGTAGAAGCTAATATTCTTGGTTCTGGTACTTTTTTGCTGCTTGGGGTGTGGGGATAGCTTCTGCTCTTATAAACGTAGGCCCTCTTACCCTGAGGTAGTTGCTTTGTTTGGTAAAAAAGGAAGTCTTGCTTTTATCTAACAGAACATGGCAGATTTCCCACAGTGTAGGAGACAAACCATGGGGGAAAATGGAAAATCACCATCAAATGCATTATGTAGAAACTCAGGCACACACTACTATGATTGATAAACTGTCACCTTGAAAATTGAGGAGAAGGTAATTGCTCCCACTATTTTTCAAGATAGGAACTAAATTTAAATAAGTCAAGTTTAACAAATTTTGAGTTCCCATTTTAAAAAAAAAACTAGAATATTCTATATGAAATATTTTCTTTGAAATGCATTAGACTTTAATGACTGCACACTGAGTAATAAAAAGCATTTACATTTACCTAAGAAGAATGTTTTTTTAATGACTTCATTTATTCCTTTTTTTACAGCCCTGTGAAATTGTCATGTAAAAAAAAATCTTAAAGAGATACTCCTGGGTGTGATGTTGAGAGGCAATTTCAATACCTATTACAAAACTTCACAAGGCAATAGAACCTGTTGTGCCTCACTGCTTAATCACATAATGGCATTTAGGAATTATTCGTACTGCCTGGTAAAAAGAATGTTTTACCATAATGCTATTATGGCAGCATGTATTTTTATTGTGATTTTTATGACATAAGTAAACATATTAAAGCATTCAGTAATATCTTAAGTGTGCAGTAATAGTAGAATCTCCAAGCAGCAAGAGTATTATGGGCAAAGAATGTATCTAATAAGAATAACATTTTCTTATGAAGTAAGTCTATTATAGAATACAGACACTTGAAACTATTCAAAAACCATGATACCAAAGTTTTATCATTGAAGCAAAGTTTATGAGACAACTGACTGTCATATTACTGTATGTTTTGTTACTGAAGAATAAGGCAATCTCAAACATTTATATCTCAGATATAAATAGCAATTGTTTATCATAGCTTGTTACAGAAACAGTAAATGATAGTTCAGGAAAATGGTCTCTATTCAGATGTTATACACATCTTATATCCTTCACTACTATAAAATGAATTCATAAACATATTCCTAAGATTTTTAAATAAAAAATGAAAGCAATGTGCTTCATATTGAAATGTGCAATGTTTCATGCCTTCATTCAGATCAATCATATGGAATTGGAGAACTCTATTCATACCTCAAGCATGTACTGAATTTCTTGTCAAACATTTATGTTTTAATTGTAAGAACACATTAATCATGAAGTTTAAAATTAGAAGAAGTTTCTCTCATTCAGCAGTTACCCTTCATGGAACGCTTTACATTTTCAAAGATGGACAGTTTGATACTTTATATAACATAGCAGATTATTTTTAACTTAATATTTGGAATTTGGGACTTGTTAGCATGGCTGAGAAGATGAAGATGATATTTTGGTAAACCTGATTTTAGGTTCCTGAAAACCATGTAGTGGAAAGAGATATTTTTTTTAATGCATGCATGGGCAACCTGTATATGGAAGTTCTGTTGAACTTGTCCATATTGAGTATCATAGTCTAAGTTGATTAGGGCAACTGACCAACTTTCTTCCTCTAAAGGACACCAGATTTCATTACAGATGGTTTTGAGACACCTTGTGGTTGCTGGGAATTGAACTCTCTGGACCTTTGAAAGAGCAGGCAGTGCTCATAACTACTGAGCCATCCTAGCGCCAGAGCCTGAAAAGGTGAACCCTCTGGGGCTGACTTGGGGGGTCAGAGAGAGTAGGCTTCTGCAAATTGCCCAAGGCCCTCCGCAGGTACACAGTAGTGTGCCGATGCTCCCCTCTTCCCAAACCAAATAAATTAATTTGAAAGCCGTTAAGAGTTTAGAGCTTCAGAGTTTTGTTTTAGATTGATCACTTCTTTGAATATATGAAATTAATTTTTCTTTGCTTTTTACGCCCTTTAGGTTTAAACAGTTATCAAATAGTATAATTATTTAGTGATATTACCCTTTCTCTAATAGTTGCTAGTGTTCAAGTACATTGCTTCATACACTTTAACAGATGCTCCCTTCCCCTCCTCTTTCTTCTTTCTCCTCTCCTTTTCCTCCCTTCCTTCCCAGCTCTTTCTTCCCACCTGCCTACCCAGCTGACTTGTTTTTTTTTTTTTTTTTTTTTATCACTATCTGCTTTCCTTTTTAACTTCTAAAGCAGGAGCTCTGTAAGTGTCTCAGGCTGACCTTGAACTGAGTGCTGAACCTGAACTGTCTGCTTGGCATATATTTACAGATATTAGCATTATAATTTCAGGGTTGATGTTTTCGAAAAGTCCAGCAGTGTGTGTGTGTGTGTGTGTGTTTTCGCTGTGATCTGAGAAGATTCAATCCTTTGAAAAGGTTATTACTTTATAGTGGTATGATGTTGTATATAGAAATAACTATATTAACTTTACAATAAAAATGTTTTGATGTTTTTTCTTTCCTCTTAAGATTTGATAGGTTTTCATAAATTCAATGCAATTTTATTATTGTTCGTGGTCTGCTTCATGTATTGTAGTTTAAATCTATAACAACTATTTCTTTCGCATATGCTTTACTGCTTCGTTTACTGAGCTAATAGGTAAGTAAAAATTCTTTTTAATTTTTTAAATGGTTGAGCAACATATATTTAGCTATTATGTATATATATACATATATATGAAGAGAGCTATATAAATGTATACATATATACTATGAAGCACTTTAGTAAATGAATATTATTCTAGTATTTGAATATGATAAGTATACCCAAAGCTATTCAATTCATTGAGATGATAGATATTTGGGGACTTTTCAAATGATTAAGCTATCAATAGATAGTGCTTATACATGTTACATGGCATTTTATCATCTTATATTTCTTTGAACCAAATATCTAGGTGCTCAAACCTGCTTAATACATTCATATTACCCTTATTCCTCCCACAAAACAGGCAATGTTTTTCAAAAGGACCATTCTTTTACAAGACATATACATATGGTATCTTACTGGTTCTATGAACTTTTCAACAATTTGCCTTGATATTATCAATCATTTTGATTTATTCATATGAAGTGCACAGACTTTAATTTCCTCTTTTCAGATTACAATCTTTTGAAATGTTTACTTGTCATTTACATATTAAACATCCATCTCAGTTCTCTGGCCATTGTTATTGGATCATTTGTAGTTTTATTTCCTATTGATAAGATTCCTTAATAAATCTGGGGCCTGGGTGTATGTTGGTACATGTCTACCATAAAAGAAGGCTGAATTTTAATCTCTGGCACCACAATCAAAGACCCTACATACAAATCCTCTCACTATTGTGTTCCACAGGTATTTCTTTCAGTGGTTGCTTTGTTAGCTTATTTTGTTGATGATGATTAGTTTTGTTGAGCAGCATTTAAAACTTTTAATGAATTCAATTTATATTCTTATTTTATAGTTAAATTTTATATTTCATTATATAAAATGCACATACTCTTAATAATGAAAGATATTTTCTATGTCTTCTTCTAGATTCTTTCAAATTTTACCATACATGAAGGAATACTATTCATCTTTACTAAATGAGTTAGCATATCTAAAGGCATCAATTCAGTTTACTTATTATTATGTTTAAGCACTTTCTCAGATGCATTGATGAAAATATTTATCTCTGTGCACAAATGAATGTGTTGTGTATGTATTTATGTATGTGTGGTGTATGCCTACATGTGTGTGCAGTGCTTGGGTCTTGTTATACACATAAAGAAGATAGAGAAAGGTATTTTTCTCCTTGGCTTTTTACCTTATTTTTTGCAGGGTTTCTCACTGATTCTTCAGTTCATAGCTTCTAGTAGGTTGCCTTTCCAGCACGCTCTTGTGGTCTATCTGTCTCCAGTTTAAATGTTAGGGTGATAGCATTGATGGCTGTAACAACATGAGTTCTAGGGATTTGAACTCACTTCTTTCTTGCTTTCAGTATCACATTTGTCCACTGAGCCCTCTCTAAACTGAAATATCTTGGCAGTAGTGCCCAATATGTCTTTCTTTCTGCATTGTCTGTTTTTTTCCGCTGCCCTACTCAACTACCTTTTTTAATTTATTTATTTTTTATTGTGTGGGAGAATTGTCTGTATTCTGTCAATCATATTATAAATAAATGCTGGTTGGCCAGGCAGAAAATATAGATGGAAAAAATAGACAGGAGGTTGAAATGATGTAATGAGAACAGGAGAATTCTGGGAAGGAGAAAGTTGATTCCTCCCACTCCTGCCCAGACGACCAAAGCAGCAGGATATGATCTGCCCCACTGAAAAAAGGTACTGAGCCACATGGCTAACATAGATCAGAAAAATGGGTTAATCAAGATGTGTGAGTTAGCCAGTGAGAGGACAGAGCTAATGGGCCAATCAGCTTATAATTTATGGAGACCTATGTGTGACTTTTCTTTAAGGCTAAACAGTTGTGAAGAACCAGGCAGGACAAAAACCACAACAAACAAGCAGGCTCCCTTCATGTTACATTATTGAGCTATAAATTTTTCTCTGCTCCCCTCCCTTCCTCTTCAACACTCTCCCATGGCCCCAATTTACTCAGGAGATTTTATCTTTTTCTACTTTCAATGTATGTCTCTCTTAAGGTCCCCATTGTTGTCTAAGTTCTCTGGGCTTGTGATTTGTAGACTGGTTTTCTTTGCTTTATGTCTAAAAACCACTTATGATGAGTAACATAAAGCCAGCCATGCTAAACCTCATAGAATAGACAGTAGGAAATACACTTGAATGCAAAAATATAACCCCAGTACCACAGACACTGAGAGAAACAATTAATAAATGGCACCCCAGAAACTGAAAAGCTTCTATAAAGCAAAGGACATGGTCAACAAGACAAAATGGTAGCCTACAGAATGGGAAAAGATATTCACCAGCCCCACATCAGACAGAGGACTGATCTCCAAAATATACAAAGAACTCAAGAAATTGGCCAACAAAGGAACAAATAATCCAATAAAAAAATGGAGTACAGACCTAAACAGAGAACTCTCAACAGAGGAATTTAAAATGGCTGAAAGACACTTAAGGAAATGCTCAACATCCTTAGTCATTAGAGAAATGCAAATAAAAACAACTTTGAGATTCCATCTTACACCTGTAAGAACGATCAAGATCATAAACACTGATGACAACTTATGCTGGTAAGGTTGTGGGGAAAAGGGAACACTCCTACATTGCTGGTGGGAGTACAAGCTGGTACAACCCCTATGGATGTGAGTATGGTGATTTCTCAGAAAATTAGTTAACAGTCTTCCTCAAGACCCAGGAATACCAATTTTGGGTATATATCCAAAGGATGCTCAATTGTGCCACAAGGACATATACTCAACTATATTCATAGTAGCATTGTTTGTCATAGCCAGAACCTGAAACAACCTAAATGCTCTTCGGTCAAAGAATGGATAAAGAAAATGTGGTACATTTATACTATGGAGTGCTACATAGCAGAAAAAAATAATGACATCTTGAATTTTGCAGGCAAATGGATTGAGCTAGAATACATCACATTGAGTGAGATAACCCAGACCCAGAAAGTCAACTACCTTTTCTGAATGACATTATCTTGTGAAATAGTAGTCCCACTGTCTTCCTTCAGAAAGTCTTTTAATAGGTTTTAAGATGAGGAGGTTGATAGTCCAGTTGTATTCTTTTATCATTTCTATCATTTTCACAAATCATTTAGCTCAAGTTGATTTTTAAACATCAAAAACACAACTAAATGAGGTAAGTGTATGCAATACATCCTTCTTAATTTCAGTAATCATTTTATTTTATTTAAAGTAGTCACATGATTGTCTTGCCAAATATGTATTTAAGTATACCATTTATGTATTAATTAATTTGTTTGTTTGTTTGTTTTACAGACAGGACACAATTTCCCTCTTTCCTTTCTACCCATTCCTATTCCCTACCTCTGCTCTGCTTGCCCAACCTACTTTTCCTGTTTCTGTTCAGAAAGGGCAGGCCTCCCATGGTTATCAATAAAACATTGCATATCAAGTTGCTGCAAGACTAAGGACCCCCCACCTTGTATTTATTGTGTGTAGCATCAGTTCTAATAGATCTTAATAATAAATGCCCAGAGTCTGATATAGGGGGAAATGTTGAGAGATTGGAGAGACTAAGAAGCAAAACATGGGCCACATAACTCTGCACTTCCCAGCTGTGAAAGGGAGTGCATTTCTTTCTCCTCCTACCTCATCACTTCCTTTCTCCACCTAGTCTTCTCACTTCCTGTCTGTTTGTACAGACTTCCAGACTTCTATGTTTAGCTAGTGGCTAGCTCTGCATTCTGACCTTATGGCAAGTTTTATTTGTACAAATAAGATATCACCATATTTCCCTTTTTTGTCTAAAAATTAAAAAAAGAAGTTTATACCTAATATAAGAAAACTATATACAATAATTACAATAAATACACACAGTATATGCAGACAACAAATTCATTAACCATGTCTAGGCATTAATAAATGACAAATTCAGAGAAAATACTCTATATTGATCTTACAGTGGTAAATCTAAAAACTGTACCTAATTCACTTAGAACTTGCATTATCATAACTATTTTATATGTCTCTCAACCTTATTACACACTTTATATCTCTTTAGTGAATTTCTTTTCTGAATCTGGTAACAAGGAAAACTATAACTATAGCCATAAAATCTTTGACTCTCTCAGAGTACTGAGAAGGAAATAATATTAACTTAATAAGCAGGAAGTGTGAGCAAGTGGCTTCCAAAAAATCTGA